GCGGAGGCGCCAGCTGTGTGATTAGTCCGCGTGCTGTCGGCTTTAAATGCATAAACTATAAAGTTATCTATTATTAACCTATCCTTAAGGATATATCTGCTCTGCTAGTGAAATGCTCAGAGCAACAGAGACGCTTGCAGCCTGGCTTTTTTTTTTTCCTTGAAACGTAAACAAGCAACGCCTTGCCTGGCGGCGAGGCTAGTAAAGCATGGCGGGCCGCCAGGCTTATACACTGGGGGAAACCCTGCATGTTTAACACCTGCTTTGAGATTATTATATTCAAAAGACACTTTTAACCTGACAAATGGGCATCAACTGATCGCATATTTAAATTTACTGTACAACTTCACATCAAGTAAGTCAGAGGCAGCAGTGTAGTAAAAGTGAGAAATGGTGCCATCTGCAGGTGGGAGTTAGCATCACTTAATGTTTTAAGTGATTTATTTATTTTTTTCTTGGAAAATTTGCAATAAATTCACAATTATCCATTAGCGCAAAGAAGTTTGGGGATTTGTTAATTTCACAAATTACTGCTTTGGTGTAATATTTGGTAAGAGCTTTTGACCTTTAGTGTAGACGTTTCCCTTCTGACGATGCCCATATTTTATCAGTTAAGTGGCTGAGATACTAACACTTTCCTTCATGTGATGAAAGAAAATGAAGAAACAAGTCAGTAAGATGTAATATTCAGGAATCCCAGTTATACAATAAATAAAGGATTGTGGCTCGGCTCATGCCATGCTTGGACTTTTTTTTACTTGTGAAGAGTTTTTTTCTTCTAACTTGTGTTTCTGTAACAACCACAGTAACAGCCACTGTAATTCTGTACTCACTTAAACTTCATGTTCTTCCTTTATACTTTTGAGAAGATATTAAATATGATTCAGATGATTCTAATGTGCAGTAATGAAGAAGTGAGTTTAATGTCAAACAAAACATGTGAGTGTCTCAGCAACAGCTTTGGTTTTATTTGACTGCTGTGGATTCATTGTTCTCCAAAGGGACAGCATCAGGAGCATCTCTTTGGGCACGAACAGCAATGATGTGGCCATCCCTCTGACAGGAGTCAAAGAGGCCTCGGCTCTTGATTTTGATGTTTCAGAAAGGAGAATTTACTGGACAGACATACAGGCCAAGGTACCAGACATGGTTCCACTTATATATAGGTTGTGTTTGATGAAGAGAAAAGCAAACACTTATCTCACCCTCCCTCCATTCTCTCTACCAGACCATCAGCAGAGCATACATGAACGGCAGCTCCGTGGAACACGTCATAGAGTTTGGACTTGACTACCCTGAAGGCATGGCCATTGACTGGATGGGTCGTAACATCTACTGGGCGGATACTGGCACTAACCGCATTGAGGTGGCCCGCTTGGACGGCCAGTACAGACAAGTTTTGGTCTGTAAAGACCTGGATAACCCACGCCTGCTGGATAACCCACGATCTCTAGCTCTGGATCCTGCCAATGGGTAGGAGTCCAATATTTAATAACTACTTGACATATTTGCTGAACCGAGTGAGCTTCAGTACCAAAAGAAAAAACAATTTCACTGATTTGGGTGTCCAAATCAGTGAAACCTACTGAGCAGCCTGACATGATCCACAGAAAGTCACCTGGAAGTGTTCCTGCTAAGTCTAGTTAAGTATAGAAACTATAGAGCACAAGTTCAGTTTTTTTTCCAGGTCTCATGAAGCATGGAAAAAAGAATTTGGAAAATATTTATATTTATACATTTTATAGTTGTGTAAATATGTCCTTCCTTCTGGCCTTTCTTCCTTACGTATGCTTCCTTGTGTCCTTTTTTCTTCTTACTTTTCTCTTTTCCGAATGTTCTTAATTCTTTAATATTTTATTTTCATGTTTCCATCCTTATCCTTTTCTCATTTTATCAAATGCCATCATCAAAATCAAGTGTAATCATCAAATACTGAATGGGTCACTATGTACAGGCTCTGACTGTACATAGTGACATATGTGGCTGCAACAAGACTGCTGCAATTTTTTTTAATACTTTAACAAACACTTTTATCATTATTGCAATACATTCCACAAAATCTGATGACAGTCTTGGTCCTTTTTCTGTCCTTTCTTCCCGGTGTGTTTTGTACTGCATTGCCTGAGGCTGAGTCCTAAAGCTGTGTGCTGTCTCCACAGCTACATGTACTGGACAGAGTGGGGTGGTCGCCCCCGCATAGCCAGAGCCTACATGGACGGCAGCACCATCAGTACGTTAGTGGATAAGGTGGGCCGTGCCAATGGACTGACTATTGATTATGTGGAGCATCGACTCTACTGGACTGATTTGGACACGTGTATGATTGAAAGCACCAATATGCAAGGTTTGTTTTCACACATCAGTCAATGGAGCAGCTGAGTTCAGCCCATTCCTCTGTAACACAACTGAACTCTGCAAGCTGCATACAGTGTTGGCAAAAAGTATTTGTCAGATTTAAATGTTTTACATCACTGAATGATGCTCAGTGATGCTCCTCTGCAGAGGAGCGGACTTTGTTGAGATTGTTGAGCAAAAAACAGTTCATAGAGAAATGGTTTTTGCATAACAATGCTTTGAAATGAAACCAAATGGTTTAACTGCAGCACATAAAGAAGAAGAATGATTGTCAATTTTATTTTATGGCCAACGTGAATATAAGATAAAGTAATTACAAGACGCGGTTCTCATGTGATGATTTCATTCATAAAGGGAATAAGAGTTATGCAAAACCAACCTGGCCCTTTGTGAAAAAAATGATTCCCTTCTTTGTAAATCATAATTTAAACGTCTATGGGGTAATTTTTCTGCCATAATTCGGGAGCACATATTTTCAGTTTGAAAGCAGGATTACATGTCTTTTGTTCTCAAAACTTTTAATACTTTTGCTTACATTTTCATTTTGAAAGCAGGACTTCATGTCTTTCTTCTCAAAACTTGTAATAACTTTTCAAAACTTTCTCCTCACGCTCTTGCAGAACTCTGCTCTCTTACAAAACATTCTCTGCTTGCTTTTGGAACCGCCTATTGGCACAGTCGCCTGACAACCTCTCAGCCAATAGAATGGAAGTTCTGTACTGGATGCGTTTGTTTCCTTCTAGCGGGTGTGCCTGTGTGGCTACTATCGATTGTAGCAACCTGCACCACCCACTGGATGTAGCATGTTGGTTGGGTGAACAAACTCCTGCCTAATATCAGTAGCACACTGCTGGCGGATGTTTAGTGTAACATGGAGCAGAAAGCTGAGGCTGTTGTTTCTCCCAGGCGATGGTGCATTTTTTGTTCCAGAAGCAAGCAGATAATGTTTTGTAAGCAAGCAGAGAATCTGAGCGGAGACTATGTCTGAGCACGAGGAGAAGTTTTGAGTACAAGCATTACAAGTTTTGAGAACAAAAGACATGAAATCCTGCTTTCAAACTGAAAGTACATGTACTTGGATTATGGCAGAAAAATTCCTCCATAAACGTCACTAACCACATTTTTTGGAAAACTGAGATCTGCTTCAGTAGCCAGATCCACTGCTTACTCCCAGAACCGGGCCGACAGCATTAATGTATGATTGGTCCTCCAGGCCTTCAGAGGGAGATTATCGTGGATGACCTTCCTCACCCCTTCGGACTCACTCTGTATAGGGACTTCATATACTGGACAGATTTCAACTTGCGCAGCATTGAACGGGCTGACAAACGCAACGGGCTGAACCGCACCGTTGTCCTGCAGGTACTGAACAAGTTGGAAGCCATTTTGGAGAGTTCTAAAACTTGAATTGTTTTCAATTACTAGACAGAGTTGCTGACCTTGTTTCCACCACACTTGTTTCCATCTCAGGGTCAGCTGGAGCTGATGCTGGACATCCTGGTGTTCCACTCCTCCCGTCAGGATGGAACCAATGAATGCTCACAGAACAATGGGAACTGTGGCCATCTCTGCCTGGCCACTCCTGCTGGGGCTCAGTGCCGCTGCGCCTTCCACTACACCCTCAACCCTGATGGGAGAAACTGTAGCTGTAAGTACAAGGAGGCAAGGATTTAAAAAAATAAACAGTAAACTCCACACAGCAGTGTGGCTTCATCTTAAATAGTGCAAAAAAATAGCAAATGATAAATATGTATATAATATTTCTTAGACTTTCTGGTGCTCCTCGGCAGACTCAAGCTGAAGATTGTTGAGCAAAAACCAGTTCATAGAGAAATGGTTTTTGCATAACAATGCTTTGAAATGAAGTTAAATGGTTTGACTGCAGCACATAAAGAAGAAGAATGATTGTCAGTTTTATTTTATGGCCAAAATGTTTTACTTTTTAAAACTTCTAAGTTTTTTAAAGATGTGAAAAATAGTTTTTAATCGTGTTTTATGTTGCTATCAAGTGTGTATGCATGTATGTATGTAATGTAACTGATGTGTAATGTGATCAGCCTCTATTTAGGGATAGTTAGTTTCTGCGTATTTATCCATAGTTAAATATATTTCAGGAAAATCAAACCTCTGCAGAATGTAGACAAATGTATCTATTTAGTTCCAATATGGACAGGTGTTCTGCTCTGCCATGTTGTTTTAACCAATTCACATTGAGCAAAGTCCAACTCTTGTTTCCCGAATGCCCTCTTGCTGGTATCTTCCTGTTCTTCTCTTGACAAAGATCTCCTTTCCGTCACTGTCTGCAGCTCCTTCAAGTTTCTTGCTCTTTAGCCAGAGGGCCAGCATTAGCAGGATGGTGTTAGGAGACCAGAGTCCAGACATAATCCTTCCCATTCATGTTACGAGGAACGTCCGAGCTGTGAGCTACGAGCCGCTGGAGCACCTGGTCTATTGGCTGGATGGACGGCAGAACATACGAAGGGCCAGAGATGATGGCACCATGGTAACACACCTACAAGAAGAGCTGTTAGCAACCCTGACAATGAAACGGTTGCTGAAGTTTTATATGACTAAAATGTTGGTGGTGTATCCTTTCTGTGGTCATCTTTAGTCTTCAATCATAGTTAGCAGTCCTGCTCAACAAGTGGACAACCAGCTTCATGACCTGAGCCTTGACCCCTACAGTCGCCACATTTACTGGACCTGTGAGATCACCAACACCATCACAGTTCAGAAGATGGATGGTCGCATCGTCGGTGTGGTTGTCAAGGATGATACTGATAAGCCAAGAGCCATCGTGGTCAATGCAGAAAAAGGGTAACATTTGTTGTAGTGAACACTCCGCAGCACATCAGAGTGACGGAGAGCCACAGGAGTTTAAGGTTTACCCCTCTCCACAGGTACATGTACTTCACTACTGTACAGGAGCATTCTGCTAAGATTGAAGGAGCGAGTCTGGATGGAACAGAGAGAGAGTCCTTGTTCTCCACTGGTCTGATTAGACCTGTAGCCCTGGCTCTAGACAACAAGCTGGGAAAGCTGTTCTGGGTTGATGCTGACCTCAAACGCATCGAGAGCAGCGACCTGACAGGTGAGTAATCATTTGCATAGAGTATTATTTTCCCATGTTTTTATTGTCATTCAAAATAATTACTGGTTACTGTTACTGGTGCATAAAAAACATATTTAATTTAATATAAAAACAAGCAGGGGATGATCCACATCAGCAGATGATCTTCTGTCTCATATTATACAGTCAAGACATTGTGACAGTTTTCATAAATATGTAAAAAAAAAAAAAAAACATTTTTTATTGTGACACTATGAGGTAATATTTTTGGCTGTTTGTTATTTTCTGTTTTTAACACTTTGAAGTTCCTTATTGCTGAAATTATCTATATAAATGAACTTGCCTTGTCACTGTTCAAAGTGAGAAAAGAAGCCATCGCTAAATTACATTTCTTGTTTTCTTTCAGGGGCCAATCGCATTGTCCTGCAGGATTCCAACATCCTCCAGCCGATGGGACTGACAGTTCTGGGGGATCATCTCTACTGGATTGACCGGCAGCAGCAGATGATCGAAAGGGTAGATAAACTGACTGGAGAGTTCCGCACACGCATTCAGGGACGGATATCATACCTGACATCTATCCACGCAGCATGGGAGATGGACCCATCAGAGTTTGGTAGAGATCTAATGCTCTTTGATATTATTCATCAACTTCTTGTTGTACACTTCATCAGACTGATGTAATGATAAATGTCTATGTTGTTTCTTCTACCCAGCATCCCACCCTTGTTCCCGAGGCAATGGAGGCTGTTCTCACATCTGCATTGCAAAGGGTGATGGAACATCAACCTGTTCCTGTCCCATGCATCTGGTTTTACTGCAAGACCTGCTGCATTGTGGAGGTAAACCTCACACCACCACAGCAGTACTGAAGGACAAAACAAGTACTGGTGTTAAGAGAAAATATGGAGAGAAATATTGGCCATACTGAGGAAATCCACTGTTATACTGCCCTAGAAAAGAGTTGATGCCTATTGAACTTTACCACATTTTATTACAATACCACTATTAATTCGAGGTGTGCCGATCGATCGGTCACCGATCATAATCGGGCCGATTTTCGTGAAAGTGCATGATTGGTGATCGGCGATCATTGGCTCTTGTTGCCGATA